AAAGAAACTCTAGATGTGCGTGGTGATGAATGTCTGCAGTTATAAACTTAGTTGCTTATAGGGTTCAGGTATGTATGAGATTTGAATTTATTATTATTGAGCCAGGGTCACACTGTATGCTATACTGCATGATTGGCCTTCAACTCATGCTGATCCTTGTGCCTTAAGTCTCCCAGCTGGGATTACCAGTGTGTGCTGCCAAGTCCAGCTAAATTAATGACGTAACAAGGATTTTCAAAGTCAGAGCCCCAAACAGTTGTGCCTGCAGTGTACTTCCAGGCTGCCAGTCCAGAGCGCAGATGGGAAGTCAGGCCTCATTTTCCCTCCTAAGATAGATCGCTAAATGTACTCATTGTTTCACTGATTGCTGGTTTTAATTTATGCCCTGTTGTTTGAAAAGTAAAAGGAGGCAAGTGCCTGAAACGTGATTCCACACCATTGTGATGTCCAAGACTGATGACATCTTTGTGGGATATTTAAATTTTAAAATACTTATATAAATGCTTACTATTATAATTCACTCATAAAACTTTGCCATTCTCTTATGCTTCCTACTCTAGAATAAGTAATCACTGTCATCTTGTTTGCTTTTATGTCATTGTCTAAATAATACAATGTCAAAGATTGCAAGCAAACCACTCAGCCAAAATCTGACTATATGAATGTCTTCACTACTTCATAAAATTCTAAAATTTTCATCCAACATTACATAGAATCTAGATTTGTCTTCTTTAAAACTGAAAGGAACTGGCAATGTGTGGCAAAATGTCTTCAGTGGCCACATGGCAGCCACATTTTTTAACTGCCTTGCAAATCTCCACAGATATGGTGGGCACCACATGCCCAAAAATGCAGTCTATGGGTGCTGGGGAGATAGCTCAGTAGAATAAGAAGGGCTTGAGTTCAATCCCTGGTTCAGGAAAAAAAAAAAAAAAAAAAAAAAGGCGCAGCCCACAACACACTTGCGCTAGCACCACGGCCTTTGTAGGCCCTAGAACCTAACACCTGCGCTTGGTCCTGGTCCCACAGAGGACAGTAATGCAGGGAAAGAGGCTCGGCAGCGACAGCCTCCTCCATTCCTGCCTTCCCATTGCCCACAGGCGTGCTTAACCTAGGGACTCTGCCAAATAGAAGTGTGGCTTTTGAGTTCTAAAATATAGGGAAAGACTGGGCGTGGTGGTGTATGCCTGTAATTACAGCACTTGGGAGGCTGAAAACAGGCATATTGTTACGAGTCTAATCTGGTAGTGAGACCTTGAACATCCTATAGACCCCAAAGTGCGAAAATAAAATAAAATATAGGGAAATATGTGGTATAGGGGTTGAATGCTACTGACCACACCTGGGACAGGTGGACTAGCAAGACTTCTGAGAATTTCAGACTTGAAATTCATAGGCTTTTTGGCATTGCAGTACAGAGAGGGAGGATACAAGAAGCCTTTATTAATTCCAAAGACATGGAGAGGATCGCGGGAAGATGGGGCAGGTAGATCCGCCGGACTGAGACAAAGCTGAGGCTTTCATGGACTTCTGTTATAGGTGGAGTTTGAGGGGATGTTTAGAAATATTTGAGGAGCTGATTGGGATCTTTCCTGTGACAGCAGGAAAAGTGAAAGGATATTGCACCCTGTGCTGGGTTGGAGAAGAAGGGGAGAGGTGGTCTCTGGGAAGATAAGCTGTTGTTTTAAAGGCTTCAGCCGTATTACATGACCACCATAATAATTCAGCAGTTCATACTAGGGCCAGAACCTTTCAGAAATGTCTGCCACACACATGGGTGGAGAGGTCTAGATTGGAGATAAAAGCAGGAGACATCAGTAAGCCACTGGGGTAGCTGGCATCAGTGTCTGACCCCCGCTCTTGTAGGTGCCATTTCACGGGACATGGCCGCCTGCACGTATTCACAGTTTTCTGTGGCTGATCTCATGCTGCCATGCAGAATGAGTGACCATGAAGGCAAAATAGTCATAGCCTGCCCCTTTGCAGGAGCATTGTGTTGTCTCCAATTTAGAGAGCCCAGCGCTCATGGCAGCCTTCAGCCAGGGATTTGGCAGAAGCAAGCATTATGGTGCTGAGATCCATCAGGAGGGGGGCACCTGGTTGCATTCTCAGGACCTTTCCTAAGCCAGGATTCTGGGGCGTGGTGAGTGCAGCCCCTTGGACTCCTGCCCCCCGCCCCCCAGGTGCACCTGTGGTATAATCTTAACATCCTACTGGGCTGCAAGAGGACTGTCTTCCCAGCTAAGTTACTATAAAATGCAGAATAATTGCCCGGCAGAGTTGTTTTTAAAATGTCACTTGTAAGTGCCGGCCAGATAGCTAGTGGATTAAAGCGCCTGCTTAGACAAACACAGGGACTGGGGTTTGATCCCTGGTGTGCCATGCCGGCCCCATCCCCTGGGGTGCGCTGAGAGGGCTATTAAGACTGGGCATGGTGGCATGAGCCTGTAATCCCAGCCCTTAGGAGGCTGAAAATAGGAGGATCACAGAGTCCAATCTGGGTAGTGAGACCCTGTAGACCCTGTACTAAATACATTTTTTGAAAACAATGCCACTTGTAAAGACACTCATTTAGGTCTATTTCCAAATTCCTGGTGCAGTTTATTTGTATATTGCAGCATGGTGGGACATAACTGTAGTCCCAGGATTCTGGGAGGCTGAGGAAGGAGGATCAAAAGTTCAAGCCTAGTCTGGGCCACTTAGTGACTTAATGAGAACTTGTCTCAAAATACAAAGCAGAAGAAATGACTGGTGATATAGCAATGCAGTAGAAAAGCCCTAGTTCAATCTCCAGTATTGGCAAGAAAGCCGTGAGAAGGCAAAAGCAAAGAAACCCTTCAGAGAACCCTCCTCCAATAGGGGCCAGAGGAAAAAGCACTATAAAATTAAGAACAGTGAATTTTAAGGAAGAACACAAACCCTTTCACTAAATGTAAATGGACCGCCATTGCTGAGGTGGAACTGTGGATGGGGAGGAGAAGCAGTCCACAAAAATGGAAAAGAGAAGATTGGGATGCGCAATAAGTTGGGATGCGCATGTGTGATGGCCTCGGCTGGCTCACCCAAATGCACGATGCTCCAGGCCCAGTCTCCCACGCTCTTCAGCTGGTATGCTCAGTGGCTCACGTGTTGATCATACAGACTGAAGAGGGGTGACTGCCTTAATTTCTCATTTAATTCTCATATTCAGTTACCTGTAGTTCTTGAAATTTAAAATCATTTGTTTTTTTGCTTTATTTTTTTTGCTTTTAAATGCATTTTGGCTAATGCAGACAACTACTTGCTGATGTATCAGACCCTCTGGAGCCTGTCCAGGGCCCTCTGGCCAGATTCCCCTGGGACCGCCCCCTCTGGTGTCTCTGTGCCTTGGCTGGCCAGCTGCCACCTCCTCACCATACAGCACCAAGGGCCAGACATGGCTCTTCCCGGAGCTTGTGATCAGATGGACTCTCCTTTCTTGCTTTGCTGTATTGATAAGTGAGTTTATTCTGCTTCTGTTGGGCCAAGTGCAGAGAAGCAGTGCGACATCTGTGCCCTGGGGCCCACCCTCTTCCCCTCCTTGGTTATTCTTCTTAACCGCCACTGAGTGCAGGATCCCTGCCTGACTCTTGGCTTTGAGAAACCCAAGCTTAATTAACCTGTTTTCAGTCATAATCAGAGCACTTACAACTATAGGAATGATCTTTCTCTAAATTTGGTTTTAGTTGTATCTGGTCATTTTGATACTTAACATTCTTATTTATTGAGGAAACAGTTACCTGGCATGGTGTGGTGTCACATGCCTGTTATCCCAGCACTTGGGAAGCTGAGGCAGGAGGATCCTTGCGAGTTTAAGATCAATCTGGGCTACAAAGTGAGCTCAAGGCCAGCCTGAACTACATAGGGAGACACTGTTTCAAAAAGACCAAAAAATGGGGTGAGATAGTTCAGAGATCTAAAGCGCCTGCTTGGCCAGCTTAGGCAGGTGCTGGGGACCCTGGTTCCATCCTGTCAGCACATGCCCAGGGTGGGCTGAGCCAGCCAAAACAAAAACAAAAAACAAGCAACAACAAAAACACAACCCATGGGGGCCAGGGAGGTGGCTCAGTAGAATAAGTGCTTGCCTGGCAAGCATAAAGGCCTGAGTTCAATCCCTGGATCAGAAAAAAAAAAAAAAAAAAAAAAAAGA